CCTCTCACTCCCCTTTAGTGCATACACGGTTTTGAAATGGTTTAAGAGGCAACTATGTTATATCAATCGTGCTACTGACCAGAGCCACTGAACTCGCTTTCGATAAGGTCTTGCCTGCTTCCTATTCATATACACCTGGCTGTCTATTCTATTAAGATCAATAATTCAGCTTGATCTTGGAATTCTGACAGCGCTTATGCTATCCAAAGAGAGCTACTTCTGTATTCTGAATTTGGAGACCTGACAATGTTATACTTATCTGTGATTGGCGTTCACTTTGGACAATGAGATTTATGCTCCAAAATAGTAGCTGATCGCGCTGTTAAATGGTAATGCAGGGTGAGAGGTCTCTGTTGTGGTGTTTGTTTTCCGTGAAGGTCAAAATTATTGCTAGTAGAGGCAAGAGTTGAGGAAAATCGTTTTTTTTACACGTTTTAAATATTTGTAAAATTTTGGTTGAAATATACTTTTTACAAGATGGAAAATGTTAATTTTGAAAGAAAACTTTCACCTGTTTTTTTTTTAAATCAAACGCCAATGGCACTCTTTTTTCTTTATTTCTTGTTTTTTGAGTATCTTTCTTTATTGGATTACCAGATTATTCTGTAATGGTTGGCCTTGAGGCTGTTAAGCAGTGATTCCCCGGCTTGAATAAGAGTCAACAACCCTGCATTAAGTTTTAATGTGTCCAATTTTTTTTAACTTTTATTTGAAATACTGTCTAAATGGTCTAATATTATAAAAGCAATAAATTTATTATACAATTATCGTTGCATTTTTATATGGCATGCGTTGAGGATCTCTTTATTATAGTTAACTTGTCTGCATTTTATGTTGTGGTGAAAGAATTAGTGAATTTACATAATGTTTTTTCCTCTAAATTTAGTTGTAGAGATAGAGATAAAATTCTCATACATGAATCAAACTTAATTCGATAAATTGATTCGATCAAAATAAAAATATTTTCTCCGAGTAGCGCGAAGAGTCTCATATCACCAACTTTACATAACCAGTCGGTAACATCCCAATATGACATATTATAATTACATTGATATACTTACGCATAAAGTCATGTTGATAGTTGCAAACATTAATAGTAAAAAGCAATATTCTACTTAATAAATCCAAATTGTTACTCACATTTTAATCATTCCTTTTTCAATTTTGTTGATCGAAGTTTTAACAATATCTTCATCTATTTTGCTGGGGGTAGGTTATGCACGAGAAAATTATTTTGAGCTTACTCAAAATAATTGAAAAATTAAATTAAAATCAACATCCTGATGTGAATTTAAGAGATAAATTCAGCAAGTATAAGTAGAACATATTATTTGTACTCTTTCCTGTCTTTGCTTTTCCGCAAGAGCAAAACATCTTTATATACAAAAAGCAACAACAACAATCCAGTATAATCCCACTAGTGAGGTCTGAATTTATATACAAAAAGCAAAAAGAAAAAATGGGGAAAAAAAATAAAAATATCACTCACTCTAAGGCCAAAATTATGTAGATATGTAGATTTTTAAACGTCAATGGTGACTTGTGTAGAACAAATTTAAGTTGAATTAGTGTAATTTCTGTTGGTACTTTATTTAGGTGTTATTATACTTTTCTTTTCTTTGCCTTTTTAAATACTTTTGTGGCGGCAATAGGTAGTTATGTTGGTCAAAGCAAATCATCAAAACTCTCGTGTTGGGAATATTTAGAGAGGAGCTCAGAATTCATATTCTTTTAACTTAGCAGTTTCTTCTATTCTTCTCCAAGAAACTACACATTTCCTTATTTCTGCTCTTCACGAAATTGGTTTCTTTTTCTTCAGTACTAAAGATCATTGCGCAATCGTAAGAAAAGGAAAAAAACTCAGAATTTTTTCACAGCTTCAACGGGGTATAATCATGGCGAAAAAGTCAGAGAAGAAAGAAAAGATAGTGAAAATGACAAAAGAAGATTCAATAAGCGCACTGAAAAAAGAAGAGAAGAAGAGGCCAAGAAAATGGTATCAGTATCAAAAAGAAGAAATCTTGGTACTGAATTTGAAGAAAAATCACAAACCCGAGAAACCCAAGTTGGAGAAAGTTCAAAGCCAAGGTCTAAAAAGTATTTACCAAAACCAGAATTTGGGTACAGTATTGATGGAACAAAGTTACCAAGATTTCCACCTATTCAGAATTTAGAGCAAATTATTGGAAAATGCAGTTACCCTTTTGAGAAAAAATTGACAAAAACTGATTTAGACAAAGATCAAGATAAGTTTTCATTGAACAGAGATGATGTGAAAAGGACAATTTTGCCTTTGTTAAATGAGCATGAAATTGGTAATCTTGGTACTGGAATTTCAGTGAACAGCTTTGATCAGTTGTGAAATTGATATGAAATGATTTTTGAGACTCATCGTAATAGTATATACAAGCTTTACAATGGGTGGAAAAAGCTGTTGAAAGATCATAAATTGAAGGAAAATGAAGATTGTTATGTTGCTGTTTGGATGTTTCGACATAAAAAAAATGGTGGGCTGTGTTTTGCTCTGATTTTGAAGAGGTATGCAATTTGCAAATAATACGGAAGAATAAGTATAAAAAATAGTATTCTTTAATATTTTTGAAGTTAAAATATAGTCTATAGTCTTAAATAATGCGTTTCTGCAGTTTTTTTTGGATTAATTTGATTTGTCATTAGTTTCATTAGCGTTTTATATCTGGGAGTGGAAGTCTTGGTAATTAATGTTTTGCGAAGTAAAAGTTTAATTCAATTAGTATTGTATGATCTGAGATTACAGATAATGTGCAAAGCAGAACGATAGTAGTTCTACATATTTGTGAAAAGGGCTTGATTATTCGCATTATTTCGTACTGCTTTAATTGTGATTTTTAATCTTTTTACAAGTTCTTTTACAGATTGATTGTTTTCTACTTTCTGAATTGTACTTTTATTAGTATAAGAATTGATGTTCGAATATGCGTTAATATTAGATTTGTGTACTTTTGCACTATGGATAGGCAAATTGCTGTTCTTTCTTCCCATTTATCCATAAAAATAAGGTACACAACTTAAAGGTATATTTTCATGGTATACAAACCATGTCATCGTATCATATTCATATGATATATTATATATTATATTATCATATTATATTATAATTGTGAAGGCCTAAAGTGAAAATTAAAAGACCTAAATAACCCTATAAAACTAAGACTATAATACCCTTAAGAAAATTAATAAATTTCTTAAATCAATGCAAGAACCTAGCTTACATTAGACAGCTTCCTCGTTGCTATTAGTTATCGTAAAATTATGAAGAGTTGCATTAGATACTAAATGTAGACTAATTCAATTAATAAACGTGTGAAAGGAAAGCTCAAGGAACGTCAACTAGGAATAACTAAATATGCCTTCAACCTCAAGGAAGAAAAACGTAAAAGCATTTCATAATAAATAATAAGTAATACTCCACAATAACCATTATAATAGTATTGTAAATAATGTGAGTTTAGAATAAATAAATAGCACGTCGTCACAATTTTATCATTTATGTTGGTTAAAAATATGTCAATTTAATGTTATCGAGCTACAAACATCAATAATTTTAACTCTATGTCCTTGTCATGACAGAGCAACCTTAATGAATAAAAGGAACATACGCCAGAAATATCGGCTATAAGGAGCTATTAGGTGAAACACGCTTTATTACATTTTGTACCTCATAAAATAAAAAAATAAGTAATTTTTTTAATCTAATTATATTTTGCTTGTTCATTTTTTTAGATTCAAACGATATCCATTCACATTGACCCTCAACGGATAAGTCAAGATACGAGAGTTCATATTAATCTTCACATGTAATTTATTTTTCAAGTATAATTATTTAGTCAATACAAAATTGTTGACTACATGATTCGGCATACACGTGCAAGTCACGTGCCGATAAATTAGTATTATTATACTAAAAGAAGACTTTAAATCAAAAGTTAATTTACGAATTTATCCATTAAAAACTGAGTGACAATTTTGCCCTTGAGCCAAAAAAGCCTTCTACTAAATTAAATGAGAAAAATCACGGAGTAAATGGGGGAGGATTGTTTCATCTGCCACTAATTGTCGTAGGTTAGCAAATTTTCTTAATTATTATTTAGAATATCACCTTTTCATTTTCCAACATTTACTGGTTTGGTCCTCTGAGCAATCTGCGGATGAGATTTAACTCAATTATTCTTCACAAACCAGTAAACTAAATTAGTACATTTAACCAAACTTACGTTAGCCTATCTCTTCATTGCTACTAAATATATCTGAAGAAAGAAAGAGTTGCATTCCAGTGAATTAAATGAGTACATTAACGACACTTACGTTAGCCAATCTCTTTGTTGCCACAAAGAATATGAAGAATTTTGAAGAGTTACATTGGATAATTAATTAGACTAATTCAGTTAATTAGACGAGTGAAATGGTAGCTCAAGGAACGTAGACCAAGGAAGAACTATAAGAAGGCAAGTAAGGTTTCCATTTCCCTCAAGTCTTCCCCTCCATCTTTATCGACTCTAACGAATGGGATGTTTTTTAGCAGATTTTCTTTAATCTTCCATTTTATTTTATTTTTTCTTTCCTTTCCTTTCTTTTTCCTTGAAGGGAAGATTGCAAAGAAGAAGAAAAGATTGAGAGATGGGCGAAGTACATGATAAAGTAGCTAGCTGTTGGATGTTGTGTCACGCCCCCGAAACCGAGGAGCGCGACCGACGCTCAAGAATCCAGTCGAGCAAGCCTACGTTACATCAACCTCTCATCATAACTCGTGCATGATTTATCAAAAATATAATTAGATCTTTTTTTTCATATCGAATACATTTGGCTCAATGGCCCATAAATATTTTCTTCTCTTTTTTTTGTTTCTCTCGTGATGGGTACATAACTTCATAAATATTTGTGAACATAAATACGTGACGAAACTCAAAACTTAAATACATGACCTACAGTGTATATGTAGCTTCTATGATAATAGATACCTAAGTACATAAAACCAACTAGACTCGAATGCCCACTGAAATTGTAGCGGGCTCACCATAATCTGCTGCGCAAAAGATCCCTACCAAAGATCCATATCATCCTGTAGAAGTATACATGCATCCATTAAAAGATGCAGCGCCCCCGGCAAAAGGGACGTGAGTACATGTGGAATAGTACTCGCATGTAAGGCAAACAGAACAACATATGAAATCATGGTAATTCAAATAAGACTCATATGAAGTACATCAAGAATTACGAAATATCCCATAGATTCACATTTCAAGTCTCGTTATGCTTACATCATTTTAAATTTCGTTTAGGATTAACTGAGCTATATGAACTATGCGTGGAATACATAATACAAAATAATTGAAACAGCATATTCAAACAAGGCCACTGAAAATGGCACGTAATGTATGCGTTAACAATGCGTCTCACTAGACCGTCCATATACCTCTCTTATCTTACACCTATATATTTCATAGACCGTCCTTAATGTTCACATGTCATATTAAACACTTATGTCTTTCATAGACCGTTCACAGTATTTAGTTACACAATACACCTGTGCGTTTTATAACATAATATACCTATGCGTTTCATAGACCGTCCTTAATGTTCACATGTCATATTAAACACTTATGTCTTTCATAGACCGTTCACAGTATTTAGTTACACAATACACCTGTGCGTTTTATAAACCACCGTTTACAGTGTTTACTTACACAATACATCTGTGCGTTTTATAACATAATATACCTATGCGTTTCATAGACCGTCCACAGGATTTCACAACATAATATACATATGCATTTCATAGACCGTCCACAAGATTTCATAACATAATATACCTATGCGTTTCATAGACCGTCTACATGATTTCATAACATAATATACCTATGCGTTTCATAGACCGTCTACATGATTTCATAACATAATATACCTATGCGTTTCAAAGATTGTCCACAGGATTTCATAACATAATACTTGCCATGGGTGATCATAGAACATTAAGAGTATTTAGAACATTTAGGAACATCATAGCCTTTACTCGCAAGAACGTAGGGGCTTATAACATATTGGAAACAAAAGTACAAATACCTTCATCTATTAACCTTTCACACCATATATCACTTCACGATTACCTTCAACTATTTACAACATCATTATTTCATTGTCTCCCTTGGCCATACGTATTATTCTTCATTCACAGCACTGTGGCCATATATCATATTCCGCACTCTTATTTCTTTACTTTCAAGGATTATCATCATGAACATCATCATATAGAATACTCTTAAAATACCTTTCCCAAAAAGGGCAATATACAATTTTCACTCACGAATATGTAAGAACGCAAGACACATTGAAAATACTCACAAAGTATAGCATTAGTTAGAACAGCTACATAGGGGCATGACTTGAGTACATAAACTTTTAGGCAATTCTAATTCTGAAGTCATTTTGGAACAGTTGAATCAAAGCTCATTTATTAACCTTTCTCACGTCATTTTATTTCTTTGGCACTATTGGCCACAGGTATAACTTTCATTCTTGGCACGGTGGTCACACTTCATATCACCACTCTCTTCTTTCTCTTTCAAGCATCTTTATATATTATCAACAAGGCATTTCAAATCATGACTTTAGGTACACAACACATATGATCAATTTAGTGTCTTAAGCATGTCGAGTTTTTCTCACACAATTCGGTATACTAGCATTCATTTGGAACACGATTCAAAGCCATAACATTTTAATACACATATCATTCTTGAACACATTCCCGAAGGATAACATCATATGATAAGAGTATCCGGAACACATTTCGAACATATATCTTTCAACACAAAGCTTATTCGGAATAGTTGATTTATAAAGAATAACTCGGGACTTACAAGAACATCATTGGATTCAATTCTAGGAAAGAAGTTTAGCCAACATACCTTAAATTCATCCCTTAATGATACTACAACGATCCACTATACTAAGCAACTTCAATCTATAATAACAATATCCAATGGGACCAATATTAGTAACAAATCCCATAATTTAGGCCATTTAGGCATTTTATCAAACACCTAGTAGGCATGAATCTCTACATCTTTTAACCATAGAATTAGTCCATCTAACTATTACCATTTACCAACAATTTATCTCACCATCATTCTTAAACAATTCATAACTTCCAACATCACATACATGACCATCCATCCACACCCAACCAATAAAATTCCATCAAATAATGACCTTTCAATCTCTACAATGGTTATGTATTTAAATTAGGAACTTATGGTTTCCAATCACCATACTATAAGTTTCAATACTTAATTCATACTCATATTCCCATAATATATCCATACA